TTTAACTTTTTTAACTTTTTATTTATTATTATTTTTTCTTAATTATTATTTTTTCTATTTAACGTTATTGCTATCACACAGGAGCTAACAAGCCCCTGTGTGATGGGATTTGGAGGTGACAGGTTCTATTTATTGAACCTGTCAGCTCTATTTCAGGAGTTTTAGCACAGCACTGTGACAGCTGAGAGGGGAAAGGGCTGCGAGTGCCGTCTCAGTGTTTACATGGAGCAGAGCGGAGATCGGCATTCTCTGCGCTGCTCACCGCTCTCCATCCTGAGGAGGATCTCTGGCCGGTGAAGAGAGGTACATGGCGGCGGGGGAGCCAGTGAGAAGAGAGGAAGGCGCGGGAGGGTGATTTGCATTGGTTAATGACAGTGGCAACCAATATTCACCCTGAGCTCCCTTTCTCATTCACACCTCCCATTCCAGAAGCCTTATTTCAACTTTCATCTAATGTGCCCCAATTCAGCATAAAATCAGATTTCATGCAACAGTTTCAGTCGAATTGAAGCACTTTAAAGGCACGCCCGAGCAAAATAATTTTTTATTTTTTTTTTGCATGGTGGAGTTGCTTAAGTCAATTATTTTTTTTTAACGCAACCACAGGATACGCTAACAAGCGAAGTCTTATCGACGTCAGTGCCGGAACGAGGCGAATCAATCAAAACGTCCTCATCTAATTAACTTGCCTCCAGGCCGAACGTGGATACTCTCTGACTCTGCAGCCAAGTTCCCCCCCATAGGACCATACTGGTCACTCACCACTGATGTGCATCATTGACTTGCAAGTAATACTTCTCGCCATCCCAATCAGAGTCTGTCCCCTTCTCTCCGATGACGTTGCCAACAATTACCCAATCGGAGCACGCCCGGGAATGAGCACTGCACCAAAACCAAACTGCTAGCAATTGCAAAAGTGCGGATTGTGTGATTAAAGTTGAATTTAAGCCAAGAGACGGCCAAAGCTGTAGCTTAGATTGCACAGCCATGCCGCCGGCTG